CAGTGTCTGTCATTGAAAGGCGTACCTCAGAAGTACATAAACCTTGTGAAGGCTCTTTACTCGAACACTACTAGTCGAGTCAGGGCTTATGGCGAACTGTCATCTACTTTTGCAACCTCAAGTGGTGTCCGTCAAGGCTGTCCACTTTCTCCATTTCTGTTTAACTTCATCATAGACCTATTGATGGAAATAACACTCTCGTCGACTGAATTCTCGGGTATTGATCTCCTTCCAGGAGGTCCACTTATCGACTTAGAATACGCAGATGACATATTCCTGTTTGGTGAAGACGCTGACAAAATGCAGAGTCTTCTGGCAGCACTAAGCAACAATGCCAGGATGTTTGGGATGCGCTTCTCTCCCTCTAAATGCAAGTTGTTGCTTCAGGACTGGTCTGGGTCAACACCTGAACTAAGGATAGGGAGTGAAGTAGTTGAACGCGTTGACAACTTCACTTATCTTGGAAGTCTGATTAGCCCTAATGGGTTGGTGTCTGACGAAATCTCAGCACGGATTCGAAAAGCTCGTTTGGCTTTTGCCAACTTACGTCACCTATGGCAAAGGCGAGATATCCGTCTATCAATAAAAGGGCGAGTATACTGCGCGGCAGTTCGTTCTGTTTTACTTTACGGCAGCGAAACATGGCCCTTAAGAGTAGAAGACACCCGTAAGTTACTAGTATTTGACCACAGATGCCTTAGAAATATTGCTGGCATCTGCTGGGATCACCGGGTAAGTAATAGTGAGGTTAGACGCAGGGTATTAGGGAATGATGGTAAATCAGTTGAAGAGGTTATGAATCTTCATCGACTGAGATGGTTGGGCCACGTATTACGTATGCCTGAACACCGATTACCACGACATGCAATGCTAACCGGGGTAGGGGATGGTTGGAAGAAAGTTAGGGGCGGCCAAACCAAAACGTGGCATCAGTGCATGAAGTCACTAACTTCTAGTCTGAGCCATGTTGGTAGATGCAGACTACTTGGTTGGGGTCCGCGTGACTTTCGTAACCAATGGTTGGAGACTCTTGGTGACATGGCTCAGAATCGATCACAATGGCGTCGATGCATACACTCCCTGTCTTCTTTTAAACTAAGAGACTAAAATCACTTCATTCTTTCTGTCTACGAACTAATTCTTTCTTCCTATACTATATCCTTATTGCAACCTTTGACCTAACCACTGCTATGAATCCGGTGTTCATCTTGCTGTGCTGATGCGGTATGGCAACCTGGACCGATGCACATATGTGCCTGGTCCTACGTTGTAGCTGACTGACTGACTGACTGACCACAACCATTTGAACCATTTGAATCAATTCTTGGAACCTGTTACCCGAAGCACTGGTATCCGCACCTTCACTTGATTCATTCAAGAGAAGAATAGACACTCACAAAAGCTTTATAGGCAAGGACAAACTTAGGCCGTAGGCCTTTCATCCTTACTAAACAAATCTGAATCTAATTCTGTAGTCTTGAGTGTTCACGAAAATCAAATGGTTCAAATGGTTGTGGACGGAATAGAAGAAGCTTTCGCTTAACATGCTTCCGTGTCTAGTAGCAGGGGATCACCAAATCCTCCAGGCAGGAACCTACGCATGTTAACAATAAAACAGGAAAAGAAATTAGTAAATCATAGTGTGATACTATCCTTAGTCCTTAAGAATAGATCAAGTTACCTCTTAAAGAACTCCTGGGAAGTTGCTTGGACTAGCTCGCTCGGCAGCGAATTCCAGCATTTGACAACTCTTAAGGAGTAGAAGTTGTGTCTACAGTCCATTCTGCTATGTTGTGTCTCCAGTTTCTGCGTGTTACCTCTTAGGTTAGTGTTGGAACTAAGCTTAAGTAAGTGTTTGAGAGGATGTCCAGAGTGTTAAGGCAACTATAAGCCATCAGAATGTCACCTCTAAGACGTCTATACTCTAATGGGTAAAGGTTAAGTGAATGGAGGCGTTCTTCGTAAGGTTTAAATTTGAATCCTCGAACTGATTTCGTGGCTCGCTGTTGGATACGCTCCAGGGTGTCCTTATCCTTTTGGAATGAGGGGGAAATACTATGTTTCCGTACTCTAAATGGGGACGGATAAAACTATTGAAGATTATATGGAAAGTTCTTCCGTCAAACTGGCCAAAAATGCGCTTCAATGTTACCAATGGAAGGTTTGCTCGGAAGGCATTTTTGTCACAGTTAGCGTAAGACTTTAAATCGTAGGGCACTAGGACTCCTAAATCTTTTTCGACTTGGGATACTACTAGAGAGGAGTTTCTTAAGTTATAACTGTAGTCTGCGACATATCGCAGATGGACTACTTTACACTTTGAAGTGTTAAAGGTAAGTCCGTTATCGTCTGCCCAACTTTGAAGTCGAGTCAGATCCTCCTGGAGTGCCTGTATATCGTCTTGGTTGCGTATCTCTCTTCAAAGCTTCACGTCGTCGGCAAAAAGTAATCAGTCCGACATTACCTGTCGAGGAAGATCATTTATGTAGATCAAGAAGAGAAGAGGTCCTAGTACTGAGCCCTGGGGGACCCCACTAGGACATTCCGTAGCCTGAGATAAAGTGAAATTAACCCTGACCTTAAAATGTCGATCTTTCAGGTATGAAGTGAGCCAATCGATTAGAGGTGGTCTGATACCCAATCGTTTGGGCTTATTGATAAGACATGTATGGTTAACCTTATCAAAAGCTTTTGAGGAATCTAGGTAGATGATATCAACCTTCCCCTTGTGATCAAGGATGCTTGTCCATCTGTCCATAGCAGTCAGCATGCTGTTGGAGTGAGAAGAAATTTAAGGACAGTAAATAGTCATTTATACCATCGCATATCAGGGACTCCGTGATTTTGGAGGGTATGGAGAGAAGAGCCACCGGTCGTTAACTTGAAGGTTCGCTGCTTCAACCTCCGTTGAAAATTGGTGTGATGTGAGCCAGCCTCCAATTTTCCGGTAGTTTTCCTCGACTTAGCGAGTGTGAGAACATTACGCTAAGCGGCGTTACCAAGATTGAGGCTGCTTCCCTCAGTATGGCGAAATGGACCATGTCCGGGCCAGGAGAAGTGTATAATTTTAAGTGCTGCAGTTTCCAAAACACCAAGTAAGCGCTTAGGTTCACTTCGGAACGAAACGAAACTGTCATCAGTAATGTAGGCCGGTTGAAATGTCTGAGAGTAATGCTCAGCCAGAAGTTTAGCGGCGTCGCCATCGTTGTTGGTCGGGCCGTTAATACCTAGCAGTTGGGAAACTCCTGTTTTGGCCTGACGAAGAGAGGCTGCATAACGGAATAAGCTTTTAGGATTAGAGGCAAATTTGTCCATAAGCTTCGTCTGGTACTGAAACCTGTCTCCTCTTATAGCCTTCGTGCATATGTTCCTTTTATGTTTATATTGCCTGTACGCTGCGTCATTGTCAATTCCTTTGTATTCCGCCCAACATTGCCTTTCGCAGCTTAGCAGGCGAAGGGTACAGTTCTTGATTATTGAAAGTGGCTTGCAGCTTTTAGGAACCGTTTGAGGAACTGAATAGTTTGTAACACGTAAGAGCGTGTGCAGTAAGAAGTCCCAATGACCGTCTACGTCGAGTTGGGGGTAAACACCTTAAACCTTCTGTTGTAGATAGTCGTGTAGAGCTGGCACATTTAACCGTTTAAAATTCCAATGCTAGTTATTGGTGGGGTATCTTAGCTTAGTTTTGCTGACAAAACTGAAGGATATGACGGCATGATCGCTTTTTCCCAAGGGAGCCAGGATTGAGAAGTTGTGAGTACACAGTCTAAGTGCGATGGTGACTGACCTTTTCTCTAACGAGTTGCCGACCTCACATTTTCGAACAATCCCAAGTCATCGATGAGGTTGAAGAACCGAGCTTCAATTGAGCTATCGCCTCCAGTATACGTGTGTTCCGCGAAGTTGACTCCAGGGAGATTAAAGTCCTCTAGAATCAGGATGTGTGTGAAACCAAGACGAGTAGAGCGGGATAGTCCTTCCAGCATACGACTGTCGTACTCAATGTCGGCGGTGGGCTTCCTATATATGAGTCCGACTAGACACCTTGAAGTAGCAGAATATCTTACAGAGCACCATATGGATTCCTCAAGATTGTTAAACTCGAGGTTATGGACTTGGTGTACCTCCAAACGAAACGAAACCTCCAAGAACGTGTGTCCATGGCTACTCCACCCCCAATTCCTGATTTTCTGTCGTTGCGAAACAAAGACATCCCAGGCACTGATAACTCCTGGTCCGAGAACTGAGATGTCCAAGTTTCAGTTATTCCTATTAAATGAGCCTTATGAGTATTGCTAAGTTCACGTAGCTCATCCATTTTGTTTGGTAGACTCGCGGCGTTCATGTATAAGCAGTTTATGCTTTCGATTTGAAACGCGTGAGCTTCTTCCTGTTTGTCTGTTTGAGCCTTACGTGAATGGACAGGTAGCCTACCTATATAATGTTTGCTGAGTTGGTAGGCCCTGTTCTTTACACGTTTTTTTGCCATCGAGACAGTCCACAAGTGAAATGGTCAGCTATGACTTGCTTTTGTGCTTGGTCCTAGCTTCATATGAACTATCTGGGTGCATGTGGATTCCTGCTGGCAACCGACGTCTATTGGCACGAAAGGCCTCCAGTGTTGCAGCCACCGTGTGGGAGGATTGGGCAGTTATCTTCATTAGCCGGGGTCTGGAATCACCGTCCTTCTTGGCTAGTCTCGTCACATGCTGAGTCAGTATGTTTTTGAGCCTCAAGGACTGTTTGATGAATTTCCATTCCCTGATGTCAGTCTTTGAATTAGTTGATGATTCAGTTTTCCACCTCGTACCCATGACTTCTGCGCTATGTGGATATTTTAATGCAATCATCACTAGCAGTAAAGGAGAAAATTTCTTCGGTTTTACAAAACAATTTGAAACCGACAGAATCTCAGGGTCGCCTTTGGGCGTGTAACTGGCGGTTATTTCCATTGTGACGTATTTCCAACTCATCTGTTAAAACCTGTTCTTGCTAAGATGGTAATTCTAAAAGCATTCTCAATTGTTAATTTTTAGATGCAATTTATGATCTTGTTTAGCCGCCAGGGAAAATTAAGGCTCCAAAAGTGGTATATTTCCTATTCTGAAAAAGAAAAGAAAAAAATTTTACGCGATCTCACTACAATTGTGCTTTCACGAAAGCCAAAAATGTGTTCATTTATTGAATGGAAGGACTTGAAAGTTGTTTATCGTCGGCACGTTTATTCTGGTTTTATAATTAACGTTTTTAGTTATGCTAGTCTATACTTCTGTGCTGCAGTTGAACCCCAGGACAATGAGCTATTGACTTTGGAAATAATCCACAGATATGTGGAACTTTTAGATAAGTATTTTGGTAGCGTAAGTTGAACCTCTGGAGTTTTCATGTTATTTCAGTATATTTTCATAACATTGCGAAGGCAGGTTATCCATATCCTAGTCGTATAAATAAAAATCAAGAGGTTTCAAACGACTCTATTTTTATGCTTGTTGGAACCCACAACAATTATATTATTTTTTCTCAAAGAAGTCTCGTATTGATCATAATCCTCTTAAATGAAATTAACATCTGTTTGTGTTGGGATAGGTCAAACTAAAACCGATTTGAATGGAACGTTAAGTTTTGTAGTAAATCTAGTGCCTTACCAGGAGGAATTTAAATCTTTTAGTTATTAGACTCATTTGAAAACGGTTAGTCTTGGTATTTCTCCACTTCTTTTTGACAATAGATTGCATTTCCGAAACCCGCCCTACTTGATTCGGTTTGGGCAGCTGTAGTGTATCAGCACTGCACCGGAAGCTGCGGGTCGCATAAAAACACGTATACATGTTGTTGAAGGGTGACAGCAGTTAGGCTGTAGCTTTATTGTAGTTTTGATCGATCTAAAGCTTCAATAGAGTGCTACGCAATTAGGTGCTATGTATACATGACCATAATTAACCTTTTCAGACTTAAATTCTTTTACATTTTGTTAAAAAAAGCCTATAGATCGAGAAAAATTTCTCTTCAATTAGTTTTTCCCCACGATTCCATATATATGTAGTTCGCGACAATGAGATAGTACCCATCAAGTAGTTGTATTACTCAATATATGTATAATGCCACCTTGATTATCAAATACCACTGAGTAGTCGGAACAAAAAATTATGGTAAAAGTAATCGTCCGAAAAATCATACAGTTGCTACATCGCATAATTACGTAACGCAACCACTCGATCAGTATTATTTTACTCTAAATGATATATATATATATATATATATATATATATATATATATATATATATATATATATATATATATATATATAGAGAGAGAGAGAGAGAGAGAGAGAGAGCTATGATGAAAAATTAGTTGAATAACAATTTCACTTTTCCTATTCGTCCTTTTTACTAAAATTTAAGATGGGGATCTTCAGTACTGTCGTACTTTCTTACTTGTTGGTTTACAGTTGGTTTAAATTCGTTTCAAAATTGCTTCCATTGTTTTTAAGGTACATTTTGGTCCGTAGATTGGAAATGCAATAATCCAAGATGTTAGAGTGTGATGCTTTATATGTTTTAGCCTTCTGCCACAACCACACTTGATACTAAGAACCATAGAAAAACACTAATTCTTCACAATATAAGAAACTAGTGTGCTACAGTTAGATACGTTCTCATGGAACACAACGTCATAAGGGTTTGTTCAGCGATCTGATAAACAAGATGGGGTTCCAGGATTTGATGGCCTGAGTGATAAATTGTACACTCTACACAACTAGCTCCAGAAGATCACTTGGACTGTTGCATACGCTGTCGTTCTCTCTCACTTTCATTTGTCTCTCCCTGGCCTTTAATCATTTATGATTCGCTGCTATGATTTTCTTACTGATCCCAAGTGAAACAGTTAAAAGTAATTTGTATTCCCACTGTAATTATTATTGGTTCTGTTTCCAAAACTTGCTGCACCCTAGTATTTTTCCATCTCTTGGCCTAGTCGAAAAATATTTCGTAAATAGTAAAACACTATGCGATAATTCTGAACATTTGAGTGCAGGTTAATATAACTCAATAGTTAATTACATTCTTCGTACTCAACCTAGGATCACACTCTGAGCTACCCAAAGCAAAGTAGATAAGGCGAGTTTCTAACCTCAAATTAACTGCTTCAAAGATTGAGTGCGCGCTTTTGAATACCAACTTAACGTATTTAAAATGTCAATCAAATTTAAGAGATCACCATTTTTTTTCTTAATGCGGTAATTAATATCTGACTTATATTTTCGATTAGGTTTGTGAACTCGACATTATATTCCATTTTGAAAAGGCATACTACGTATTAGATGAGTTTATGTTAGGAGGAGAAGTTCAGGAGACTGGCAAAGAAAGCGCTTTAAACGACATTGACATGCAAGATTTAATTCAAGAGGTAAGTTAAGTTTCAATCTCATATTTGCATACTGTATTCCTCATTTTGCTGTACTTGTTTTATTACCCTTATTATCAATACATATTTATCTTAATATTATTTAAAGGAAGAGGCACCTCAAGGATTTTTCGAAGAACAAGGTATTTTATTCTTTGTTTACTGCATGAGAAAATGGAACATTTATCTGCATGTAGACGCACATTTTATCTAAAATCTACTTCTGTGTATATTTAGTTTAGTAGTTTTTATGGTTTCAATTTTTATTCCACTGTTTTTCTTATCCTGTTTGGTACGACATTAAAGTCATCAAATGTGGTTATGTAGTCCGTCGTTTAATAAGTGTTTAACTTCTTTCCCAATCCACAAAGACTTAGAAAAATAACGACATAATCTTTTAATGAATCGTCCCATATGAGCTCTGGGTTGAATTTTCCTCGTATTTGCATATGCCTCTCCTCTAGATACCCCGCCTTTCCATAATAAAAGGATGTGTTAAAAAAGTTGAGCCTTAAAAGTAACGCATCTTAGCTTATTCCACGATTTTCCAATCCAAAAACTAAAATTCGGAGTGTACAAATCGAATCCACAGACTGCCACTCACAACCCAAGATAAAGCTATTTGAGATCAGCTATACTCATTTTAAATAAGTTCATTTTTATGGAACGAAGAGTAATCCTCTTAACAAGCTCTTATTAGGTGCTATTACTATATATGTAAAGTAATATATAACGATGGATTGTCGGTAATAATCTTCATGAATTTAAGATTGTTTGTAACTGCCGAAGTAAGTAACATGCAATTTATATATGAATCTGGTTTTTGTCAAATGAAACTTCAAAAATCACCATATATAAGGTGAGGAGAAACAATATAGATAACAATAAAACTAGACATTCTAATATACATTAAGTAATCTACTAATTAATTACGAGAAAAATAAAAATGGAGTGAGTACTAAGTTGTTCTAACATAATAATGTGATTGAATCAGATGAATTTGAATTTTAAAAAGTGTAGAAGGGATGGCGATATTCACATAAGGTTTATTTATTCGTTTTATTGTTTGAAGATTATTAGTTTGGTCAAAGTAGACATATTGCAGTGGACCTATTTATTTTGGATTCAAATCTCAGCTTTTACATTCGTATTGCAGCCGCTTTCGGGATTCAGAAAATGCGGAGCCTGGGAAATTTAAAAGAATTACTTTTAACATTGTAAATTTTTAAAAATGACTGACTAATGTTAGCATCATATTTCGTCTGAACCAGGTAGACATAGATAAAACTTTCTATGCCTTTTAGCTACGTTTGAAGATGTTCACGAACATGGAAAAGTAAAATACTAGAACATCTACCAATCTGATTTGCTCTCTAGAACTAGTTGAACTCACGGATACGAAAAAAGGTGGCCAGTACATGCGCTCTATCTTTCGTTCTTGACATCACTATCGAACCCGACCAAAGCATTATTTGTAGTTCACCAGCTGCTATGTTTTCCTCTGTGTAGTATCCCATTAACTTCACTCTACTTTTGTCAAATCAGAACATGAATTGATTGGAAACTATATAATCTGACAAACTCGAGTAATAAAAGATCTGTTGGTGAAAAGAGATTGCATACGGTTTATTGGAAATCTTCTAATGTGTTTTCGGTTCATCCATAAGGACTGATTAGTATAAAATGGACTTATCAGTGTAATATGATTTGAGTCTGACCCCAGAGTGTATTAGTTGAATTTCTCTTTTTATCTCCTTTTAACTCCTGAATGCCATTATTACATGGTATTATTGATTTTAGTCGTTTAATATTCGTTTTGATACGGTGATATTGGGTGCAACAACAACCAGTATATGTTTGTAGCCGGTCCTATATTGTATATATCCATTTATTTGACTTTTTGAAGTCACTGGTGTTTATCTTAACTTGTTACAAACAACTCGTTTTTTATCTGTTTCGTCTACATTCTAGGCTTAATGACAAAAATATTGATATCGTACTCAAAATCGTATATCCGATTATGTTAAACCAACTTAGCTGTTTATCTTTATTATAAGTATTGATAATCTCATTTTTTATGGATTTCATTGTTCTGTTGTCCACTTATGATAATTTGGCTCAACTTACAAGAATTAGTATTTTGTTTAAAAAAGTATTACATACTAATATATGATTGTAATCGTTCTATCTTGTCTTCATACATAGAACATGTCCTTATAAGTCCCTTATTATTGCTTTCCTGTAAGACGATTAATATAATTTTAGAGACTAGTCGCTTCATAATTGAGCACGTTTCGAAGGGTATATTTATACACTGTCTGTCTACATTGTAAAATTACTATTTGGTTTTTGCTTTTATACGTGCCTTTATCGCAAGTTTTGTAGCACCTACATATACATGGCTGGTTCATTGTGTATTTAAATTACAATCTACGTTATGTTTTTTGTCCTTTGTTTGTCCATGTAAACGGTGTTGGTATATTTTTTGTTCACTGTGTATTTGGTTTCTCATTGTTTATTACTGTTTACTCACTGTAAATACTGTGCACGCTCATACGTCATATTATATTGCATAATCTTGATCAATAGATTGCCAATTGGTTACTGAAATTCGAGGAGTAATACCATTCTTTGATTTCTGTAACTCATCTAAGTAGTACATGTCTATATATGATAGTGCTACCCGGCTACTTATACCACTATATGCAGGGTAAGATTCGCGTTCCTAACTCAATCATTGAAAGTTAAATCTTTCAAACATTTCACTCTTCATCCTATAAGATTTTAATCCAACCATACAACTGTCACTTTTCCCTCAAATAGCTTGACGTTAGAATGCTAGATTGGTGATTTAAAACTCAGGTGACACTGAATTTTTGTAAAATCAAATTGCTGATTATTATCCTTGTGTAGGGTAAGACTACGGGAAAAATATAAGTTCATAATTCATTGGTAACTATATTCAATCAAATAATATTAAATCTCATTGAATGTTCAATTCATTCGCTTTATTTCTTTTTTTTAAAAATTTCCCAACCATAGGAGGAGTGTAAAACCAAAGAAGAACAAGCTGATATAAGTGTGGTTGATGTTTCTGGATTTTAAAATCATTTCTGTTTTCTTCAGAGATAATAAATGACTTGTTTAATTTGTGTATACATTTACTTCAAGATAGAAGTATACGATATGTTCGTAAGTAAATTGTGCAAAGTACTCAAAAATTATTTACTTCTTGCAAACGTTTTTCTCTGCTCACTTTTCTATTGTTTTGCTTAATTTTCAAAAGCAAATTTTAACCTCTCTCAGCAATCATGTATACATTTAAGTTAGTTTTTTTTCCAGTTCATTCCCTTTATTAAATTATCAGTTAACTTTTTTAAAAATGTAATTTCCCTACATATGCCTTTCATTTAAAAGAAAAAAGACATTCTACTGCTCAAACCAATTTTGCATATCATTGTTTTACAAGAAGCTATTACTATTACCTCTGATATTACGATTTATTTCCTGTTGTGGTGGTGGTGGTTTTGTATATTTGATCAACATTCCAAGTAAATTTAATTATTTATTTTGTATTATTAGCTCTGTTTTGTAATGGTGATAACTTTTTTATTTTTAAATAGTTTTATTGTATCGTTTTTGTGACATTTACTTCAATGAAAACGGTCCTTTCTTCTTTCTTTTTTAATATGCATTTTATATCATGTTTGTATTTTTCTGCGTCATTGGTTAAACTTTCCTCTGTTCAATGTGTGTGACTGCTCGAAGGCTGTGATGATAATTAGTATACATTTGGTAGTAGGAATAAGTAATTATAATAAATATTCCTAACTAGACGAACCTTAAAGTTCACACTGTTATATTGTCTTTTATAGTGTTTACTTGATGTTATTGTGTGATGAAATGTACTGAAACTATCGTATTTGTATACACTGATCTGGCTAGCAACCACATTTATAAATTTATATACACTTCATTGACCTCATATGTTCCTTCAAAATGTGCATGATTATTTACAGACCTTAAAACTCAGTATTAAAATAGAAAAAATAATTTGAACCAAAGCTTTTATTCAGGTTAAATTAACATAACAGTTTTTGTTTATGTTAGATATTTCTTGTCTGAAAAAAACCAGAATATTTGTTGAAGGTTGTAATGGTCTAAAACGGACTAGCCAATGACACTCAAAAGAAATACAGAAATCGATGTCAACAAAGTCTTAGGTTACTGTTGTATTGTGATGAATTTCGTATTATTCGTTTTGTTTTTCAGACTTTTGAGAGGAGTAGCCATGTTATTCGGCACTTGCCTTCCAGAAATACCCAAGAATGACAACTTTTGTTGCTTTCTTTATTTGTAAGTATGAAAACTGTGGTCAGTGTGTTTCTCTGTCTGACCTTATATTAAAAGACTAGTATATTGATTATCACTCATTGACATGATTTTAGGACGAAGTGCTAGTGATCGTTTTTCTCATTGATTCTACCACCCTCTTAAGAAAGCAACTTCGTAGCACTTGATGACTAATCAGTTACCCTGGTTGACTATTCTAAGTTGCTATCCAGTCATAGTGTGAAAATTCTAATGATCAAAATCATAAAGCTAAATTCACATAGGTGAAGATTGAACAAACAAGTGAATTTAAGTTAATAGGTAAGAATAGTATATACTTATCTGTGTTTAAGTTTCTTAACGCAGCCAAAATTATCAAAATAGATTTGTAAACTGTCAATCTTACATGATGAGTAGTTTTTCTTTATAATTGAAGGGCAGTTTAGTAGCTGGATAGACTTTTATGTTTTATAATTGGTTTTTCTAGAAAATTCATAACTTTTCGAGCTAATTTATTTGTTCCAGAAGGTCAATTTGTATTCGTAATGCGATTAATTCTATGGGATTCGTCATCAGATAAAGGAGCCTAAGTTTACGTTCCAAAAATCTGAAAGAATATAAAATTATCACCAATACACAGAAGCTTCCCTGTTACTTCAATGGAGTACCGCTATATACAAGTATACATAATAAGATTCTGTAAGAAAGTGATATTACCAAAAAGATACTCAGTAATCACGGGACGCTAGGAAGATGTTATGTTCAAGTTCTGTACTAGCCCATAACGTACAATTCTTAATCCTATTAAACACTTAATGGTCTTTTAGGTGATGTAAAACTTTTGGAGAAATCTGTCATCAAGACTCTAAAATCAATCCATCAGAATGAACACTACAATTTTTCAAAATTACTATTGAATCTCAGTATTTCATTTTGGGTGGATTTCGGTAAGGGAAATTATCTTTAGGCAAAGTATCATGCTCCAGTTTGCTCTTAGTTTTCATATGATAGATATGTGATCCTTACTTAGTACTATGTTATCAACGTTCTTTCATTTCTATTTACTTTGGAATTTGGCTATTTTTTGTTGATTCTGAATCTGTTTCATCAGGTGTGTTGGAGATGTGTGGAGGACAGTCACCTTCCGATTTCACTCACTACGGAAAATACTTGAAAACGAAACGAAACTAGTAGAGTGTATTTGTAAAATCTCAGCAAAAGAATTTGAAGTAAATCCAATGTTTCGCCTGGCAATCTGGTCCAAGCTTTTTCAAGGAAAGTATAATCAAACAACAAAATTATCGAATATAAATAGGTACATGGTTCTCTGGTTTACTGTATACTGAATAAGTCATCCAATCAACGTTAACAATGTTTAAAGTAGGTATTTACATTAGTGTGTAAGAGACATGTGGTGTGAAACGAAAAGTGTTAAGATAACAGATTGTGCGTAAACGTAAGTGATGTGAAAAGAAATTTCATTCACTATATATTGTCTTCGGTCAGTAGAATATTAAGAAAACATATATGACATGAAACAAAAATTTCACAGCACGCATAAAATGAAGATAAATAAACAAGATTAGTAAACAAGATGAAAGCCTGAATTAAGAGAGGAATGTATTTGTAATTGAAAGTTTGTGTTATTTTAATGTTCCAGTCAATTGTTCAACATATTCAGATAAGATAACTGATTTGAATCGTTGAATGTATTATCTATTGATTAGTTAATATGATATAGATAGCTAGAATGGAATAAGGAGGTCAGGTTTACTTGTTAATTATTAGCTGCCATGGGACAGCTAGCTGTATTTCATCTCTCCTATTAATACTACTGTTTGGATTAGCCCATATATGTAGGGCTTCGGCTATTAGTCTTTCTTTGCAAGAATTAAAGTCTTTCTGAATGATTCTTGCGCCATTGAAATCAATTGTATGACCCGATTCTATTGAGTGTAATGCTATCGCTGATTTGTTCTCAAGTTTTCTTACATCATCTGAGGATTTAGGAATGTGCCTTAAGCACAGTTTGTGTTCCTTCACCCTCACACTCAGTTGCCTTGATGTTTCACCTACATAAGTTGCATTACAGTCATTACATTTGATTTCATAAACACAATTCTGTTGTTCTTCCTTGTGAATTGCAAATATTAGTGAATTTTTCAAACATAAAGATAACTTTTATGACAAAAAGACGTCAAATAAGAAAATTTGAACAAGAGTTTAAACATTCGTCGAAATCTAACAATGACGAGATTAGAAATAAATCCAAGGAACTCGATATAAACAAAATAGTGATACATCTATCCGACAGACATTTAAATCAACACAAACTTTCACTACTTAAAAAGGTCTCAATTTCAATGTGAACAAAACACAATTTTCGACCTCTTAAATCATTCCGTTGATAGAGCCTGCCTTAAACAATGTTCCGGATGATCAAGCGAATTCAATGGGGTTTGAAATCTCAGCGGCATTGTTGAATCAGAAACCAAATACGCCTAATATTTCTAAAGAGGAAATGTATGCCCTAAAACAGTTACGTAAAGACAGAAAAATTGTTATTATGAGAGCAGACAAGGGAAATACCACTGTTGTTATGAATAATTCTGACTATGAAAAAAGTCTATGAACATCTCCACAATGGACCCTATGAAAAAATCATGAAGAACAAATGTAGAGCCACTTTAAATAAGTTGAAAACTGAGACGGCCAAAATGCTACAGAAGTTAGAATCTAAACTAGGACCAACTTTATGGTTCTCTTTATATCCAAAAAGCAATAACCCTTGTAGATTTTATGGCCTACCGAAAATACATAAAACAGATATCCCGCTAAGACCTGTGGTTGATTACATGAATTCACCAACCTATAATCTTTCTGTATACCTGGCCAAAATTCTTCAACCATATGAAAGCGTAATAAAATATGGAATAAAAAATTCTAATGATTTCAGAAACATTGTCAGTAATATCTATGTATACCTAACTTTTATACTTGATTCATAACTTAGCTTATTTGAACATTCACAAACTAATAAAAGTTATATTATTCATGAGATCGTTTTAAGTGTTGTTCATTTTCAGCCAAGTTGTATAATTTTACCGACTGTCAAATATGTTAAAAGATACTAATATTTGTTTTAAGTAGTTTACAGTTTTGAACAGATCGAAATCAATTGTATTTGAATGTTGTTCGAGTTCACTTTTTTTCTATGAGTACTGTTAGTACACAGAAATAGATTTACACTTAATTAAAATATTTCAATATTATCCTAAGATTTACAGTAGTTTTATTTGTTCACTCAATAATGTTGAATGCTTTGTATCAACTACAAAGTTATATTTCCATGATACAGTTACAAACATTTTTATTTCCATAACAGAAAAATCATGTTACTCATCATTTAAATACACGTTTGTTGTTATGTCCGGCTTTTTATCATGTGATTTATCCACCGATCGAAATACGACCTATACAATCGTAGCACTGTCCCAGACCAATGACGTTCGACCGGTATGAGCAAACTAGCGTCCTTATTGGTCCTATGTCCTTCTAGCCAGTCCACTTGAGTCCAGAACACCAATACCAGCTTCCGCAATATGAATCATTTATTTCAAACATGCTCGGTTTATATATCAACCAAACAGGCCGCAACGCACCATAAAATAGGAAATAACATTTGTACAATATTTGGCCAAATGTGTCTGAACGTGGGAGGCAGTAGTCAATAAACTGAACATAACTTAAGAACCGTGAATCCTACAATAATA